TTTTTTTTTGGAAATTGGTGTCTGTTTAACTGGGTTGTAACAGTGGTAGTTCAGTATGTACATTTACACTGTAATTAAAAAACAAAGGGTCCGCTTTACTTTTAGCCTCTTTGATAAATATTTAAATGCAATTGTAAGTGACCCGAAAACGCGCACGGGCTTCGGAGGTGGCTATTTCATCCCGGTGTTTCTTCGCAATGGTTCGCGCCTCCCAGAGTCTGCAGATATCTAATAAGCATAAGCGTTAAAGAGAGCCTCAAGGGAATCACGCGCCCTCCCCCGCCACTCTCCCATCTCCAGAATGAGCTTCGCTGCTGCCCGGTGAGGGGGTTCTGGGGAGGCGCACCCCAGGACTCCGTGCTGCCAGGAGCCGAGGCCCAGGACTGCCCCTTCAGGCCCCTGGCACCCAGCCCCCTTCCTCTCTCTCCGCTACCCGCCCCTCCTTCCTCGCGTCAGACAAAGGTGGATGAAGTTCTTTTCAAGTTTCAAAGGCAGTTGCTGGGCAGCTTTGCAGAAACAATAACTCTTTTATTGGGAACAAATGTTGACATTTGACGGGCGCGGAACGCAGCCCCAGCGCCCGCCGCCGGGCAAGCGCCACGGTGCTCCCCGCAAGCGCCCGGCCCCCGGGGCCCACCTGAGATTAAAGCGCGAATTCCGATAGATCAGCCCTAAGGAAACCCCGGGCCGCGGAGAGCAGAGGGGTTGTCGCGGATCCACCACGCGGGAGCCGCGCCGCAGGGACGGGAGCGCGCCCAGGCCTGCACCCGCAGCAAAGTCACGGCTGCCGCACCAAAGCCCTTCTGCTCCCGGTTGTTCCATTTTGCCGACATCTTCCCAGCCTCAGTCAACAACTGCAAACGTGTATCTTGGAGGCTAGGTAATTTTTGACTATGAAACGTTTACAGGAAAAATAAAATTCAGACCCCCATTGGCTTCCCTTTCCAGTGAAAGATACCCCCCCCCCTTTCCTTCCTCATTCATCTTTCTCAAAGACCAGCATGGAGAGGAGCTCATAAATCACTCCAGATTTCTCTAAAAAGATCCCTCTAAACACCTGCAGGTTTTATGTTCTTAGTGCATATTTTAGAAATCAAGTTCTCTGTAAGGAAATTCAGGTCAGGAGACAGCGTGGGTAAGTTATGGAAATCTTTAATAATTTGTTGGGCATATAAACATCAAAGAAGCTTCCTCAGCCTTGGCTAATCTCCTGAGCGGCTTCCAGTTCTCACCAATTGAAATGTGCATGTCCTCCCAGAGAATGGAGTCTCGTGTGCGTGTGCGCGTGTGTGTGTGTCTGTGTGTCTGTGTGTTCAAAGGAAACAGGGATCGCATGTTCAGGTAAAACAATCTTCCCTGGTCCAAAGCTTTTACTCGTGCTTCAATTTCTGAGCATAAGCACAAAGGTCAATTTTTGCTTGGGTTTTCTACTCCCACACTTAAGAAATGTATTGCCTTAAATGTTGTATCTTCATTAGATTGGATGATATTTAGTGTTTGTTTTGTCAAATATTGTTAACTTTCATACTTTCCACTGAAGTCTTCAAATTACTCTAGTTATAACATTACGTATAGCAGAGACATTGCTGCCATGTACAATTTATTTCCTGCTGATCTAGGAAACATGGCTAATATTAATAAAAGTAAACGACGTAAGACCTTCAGGCCACAATCTAAAATGCTTCCTGAAGGGAAAATCATTATCTCTATGGTAAATCTATGAAGGATTTATTTCTAAAACCAAAAGAAGCAAATCTACTCAACCCCCCTTTTACCTCCCCAGACCTCAGATTTGTTTGTTTCCAGATACACTGCCACGGAGTGGCAAACCTTCCCATGTGAAGAAAATCTTCCCTCCTGCCAATAGATAGCTCAGCTCCAAACATGTCCGTATCTATTACTAGGAGAGGCAGAGAAGACAGAAAAATAGTTCTCCACCCCAGAGATTTACTCTATGTCTGACCTCCAAATGCTTAAGTATTTAAAACCAACAAAATACATGAGAAATAACAGAAAACAGAAACCTAGTTCTGCCCCACTTCCCCACAGTCAAACCACAATCACTCCTCCCCATCCGCATGGCTCAGTGTCCAGTTAACAGTCCCCTGGCTTGGCCTCAAGTATCTAAGATTACTTTCAAATACCCTTTCTAACAAGACCTCAGCAAGAGGCCACTAATTTCTATGGCACAAAAAGCCACTAGAGAGAGATCCGTTTGTCAATATCAACTGGTCCAGCAATTTCCCATCCTCAGACACATTGGCCTATAGGAGCTGGCAGATGTTTAGACAAGATTTTATAAATTGTTCAATATCAGCCCATAATGAACCCCAACTGACCATTCCAAAGCAGCTAAAAGCATCCCAGACCTCCCCTGCTGGGATCCAATAATGCTCTCATGCTGCAACATTATTAATCACGGAATAAAATAGATGAACCTCTTGAAAAATAAGTGTATGATTGATTAAAGGGCAATCTAAGAAGCTATTATTCTTGTTTTATAACCCTAAGTTATATTCACTCAATTTATCTTTCGAGAGGAAATAAATGATTGTTCATTTCTTTTCTGAAATTATATTATATGGATATCCATATAATTTTGCTGAAAATTAAAGTGACAGGCTTGCTACTTTTATGATACCAATCAAAGGGGATCTGTTACTTGACTACAAATTTTAGACTTGTCCTATAATTAGAAAGTGAGTAACACCATAAAGAGGCAGTAGTCTAAGGTTGTTTAAATGTTTCTTTTCCCCAGGGTAAGAGTAAAAGCTACTGAAAGGAAAGTTAAGTCCCTCCCCCAGATCTTCACTCTGGGTTTAATGTGCATTATAGGAAAAGGAGAGTTAAGAAATCCTTCCATAAATCTGAATAATTAGGCCAATTTGGATAACTCCAGCTTTAAAACAACAATTATTTCTATCTGTAATTTATTGGTGGGGGGTATGATACTCCATTATCAATATTAATCTCCAGTTTGGTTTATGAGGAGGTTCAAGAAGTCAGCATCAGAAATGAATATAAAATGCATAGGATGTCAGATCATTTTATTTTGCCAAGTTTTAAAAATTTACACTAACAAGTAATTAGCATACTCAGGGCACAAAAATCTTATCTTTTTCCAATACATTTATAAAAATCATCTAGCGCCACATCTTTCTCCCGATTGTGTACTTCTCTTCCATTTGCCTTTTTTTTTTTTTTTTTTTTCAATGATCAGGAGAGAAAGGAGAGTTATTTCACACAGCTTTTCCTTAAAAAGGTGAGGTCAGATCACCTGGAGATTATCACTAGGGTTCCACCCCAAATCATTCTTCTAAGAAAAATCAGCCCCAAACACCATAGTATTGTAGACTAGTCTGTTTTTATTTACAATTTAAGATATAAATTAGTAAAGAATTCATGTTAAACAACCAACAAAGATTGTATAACCAGCAATGTTCAAATAAAAACCAGGCAGAATTTATTTACAAAAAGTTTAGATTCCATTGCAATACAACTTGCATAAATTACTAGAAGCTTTATATCATTATAAAAATAAATATCAAATTTGTTTCCACTTCTGAAGTACTCAAGTTCTTCAATCACGTTTTATTTCTACTGTGTACATCTTTTACAAATAAACTTTACAGTAAATCCTATCACACCTATAGAATATATACCGTGGCAATGAAGTGATCAATTCAATATATCCTGAGAAATACAGATTGTTTTCAAAAGTCACACATACATCGGGGAAGCTATACTATGCCAACAAATTCACATATGTCCAAAATAGTCTGTTCCGACTGTTAGAGTCTGTGGGTTGATAGTGCTGTGTGGATCCTTCTCTTTTACAGTGGCACAAGATGTGGTCTGGATTTAGACATCTGTTTGTTGTATCTGTAAATTTATGAGCTTGGGAAGAGAGAATGGCCTGCTGACTTTTTTTTTTTTTTTTTTTTCAAAGCAATTGTGACACCTACCTGTGGACCAAGGAAAAAACTAAATGATCCCCCATCTTTCAGTTCCACACCAACACCATTATAAAAATGAGTTGATCTGAAGTGGTTTCACCTCTTTCTTATCTTCAAGATCTATGATTGGTAAATCTGACTCCTTGCAAAGCAACCTACGTTTTGAGATACTGTTGTCAGCCCCGGGAGAATTTCAGAGCCCTGTCCATTGGGCATGGGTGGAGGGCAGGCTGGGCAGGGCTCATAAAAGACTAGGACGCCTTGTGTCTCTTCAGTCTTATTTTGCAAACATCACCAATAAAGGTTTCTGCTACTCCAAGTTTTGGTAGCCCAAGCTCATCAAAGCATGTGTCTATTATGTGTCTAGCATAGTAAATATGGCTCTAAACTGCATACAAGTGCCCAGATTTTAATAATCTATTTTTTCAAAAGAAAACAACAGTAGTGTGTTTTATATATATATATATATATATATATATATATGTACATGTACTATACATATACATATATATATTACACACGTTGTACACACACACACACACACACACACATATTTTTCCTTCCCTAGGTAAAGAAGTGACAGAACTTGTGCCGAAAGAAGGGAATCTATACAACAGAAAAAAATAGTTTTCCCCTTAAGGAAAGAAAAGACTGGACAAGATTGAACTGCTGTCTTCCAACCCCATGACCACAAGCAAGAAAAACACATTAAGCAACTTGGTGCTGGGAGGCTCCAGAGGGCCTGGAAAGCACCAGGGTGCCCACTTACTTGCATTGCTGTGCTCCGCCTTCTATAGGTAGGGCTGGACGCCCCCGCCAACCGCCGTGCAGCCCTCGCTGGCATCTGTCAGGGGAGTGGGCAGTTAGTCAGAACCGACCCCACAGCCTCCTGGCTGCGCAGACCACGGACCCACCATCCTCCACTCCCAGGCAAACAGCGGTTTGGGAAACTGACTGCCTCCAGGGCCGCCAGCGGAGACGACTTTTGGTGATGTTTCCTAGCTCCTAACTTTCCCCCTTGAACTTCTCTTTCAGGTAGCCTCACCTAGGAGCAACAGAGTCCATATAGAACAGGGGAAAAAAACAAAAACGTTTTCTTTCCGGAACAAAAACGTTTCTGATTTTCTCTTTTGAAAACAAAACGCCTCTGAGGATAACTGAAACGTTCTGTTTGCTTCTAGCCAACTGCAGAAAAGCGGATTCAACTGTGATTCCTTAACAAACAAGACACCCAAACACACCCGGCTTAGACTCAGTCATTAGGGCGACACGCTGTCATTTGCATTTCGCGGAAACTAAGACAGCTACGATAATAACAGTTAAAATAACAGTAAATTAAGTAAAAACAAACAATAGCAGGGCACGACTAAAAGGAGGCCCCCACCTTCCCTGGATTCCTTCTCGCCCTCGGCCCTCACTCTGCTAATTCTGGGTCCCCGGGGCGGCCCCCTAGGTGTTCTTCCCGAACCCTCCCCCGGGTCTACAGGGCGCTCCGCCTCCCCGGGGCTGGGGCCGGCTCTCCCTCCCTGCCCGGGCGCCTCCCGCTGCGGGCTGCCTACCTTTCTTGGGCTCGTAGCCGCTGCCCGGGGGCCGGTAGTGGGACTCGAGCGGGTGTGCACCCGCCTTGCCCGCGTCGCTGGCCGCCTTGGGCGCGCAGTGCAACCCCTCGCTGGGGGCTGCGGTCGCAGAGTTGTAGCGCAGGAGGCCCTGGCCCTGCAGCGCCGCGTTCAAGTTCCCGTAGTTTGTGTAGTTGCCGTAGAAGGGCGACGTGTAGTAGAGCGGGCGGCCCAGCAGCGGCGAGGCGGGGTAGGGCGAGCCTCCCGGCGGTGCCCCGGTAGAGGCCGGCGCGGCGGCTGCGGGCATCCCCGGCGGCGCGCAGCCCGGGCCCAGGCTGGGCTGCTTGAGGTCCGACGTGGCGATCTCGGCCAGTGACCAGAGCTTGGGCTTGCTGGCGGGGGGGGGCGCGCCCGGAGACGTCCGGCTGCCCAGGGGCGTCTTGCCGCCACCGCGGGGCGCGGCCTCTGGCGGGGGGCTCAGCAGCGGCGCCTCCAAGCCGGTCAGCGGCGACGAGGTCACGGGCTTGGGCGGCGCCAGGCCCCGCTCACCCTCCTCCTCGTCGTCGTCCTCGTCCTCCAGGTCGTCGTACTTGTCCTTGCACTCCGAGCCCGATTCGCACAGGGGGTCCCCGGCGCGGCACGGAAGCTTCTCCCCGTCCGACTCGGCTGAGCACGAGTGATCCGTGAGCGAGTCGACGTGCAGGCTGATCCCTGCGGGGGCGCGGGCACGGTCGGGGGCACGCGGGGACGGCGCAGGCCCTGAACCCTCCCGCCCCCTGTCCTGCGGCACAGGGCCCTCCCCACGCCACCCCTCACCTCGCCCCTGCCCGACCACGGGAGACGTGGAGCCTGACGGGCCCAAGGAATGGCTGGCTCAGATCCCGCTGACCCCGGAGCGACGTGGGGCGGCCGGGGCTCTGGCCCGGACCTGGGGCACCCGACGGGCAGAGTCCGCCCGCCCCGCCTGGAAAGAAAGCGCCCCTAGACTTTGCTCACCTTCGTCCTCCGCCGAGGTCTCGGTGCCCTCCTGCGCCTTGTCGGGACTCTCGTCCTTGCTTCTGGCCGCGTCGCCCTCGTCCTCGTCCTCATCCTCGCTTTTGTTTCTCGGGGCCCAGGTCATCTTGTTCTCCTTCTTGAGGCGCCGACGAGCATTGGCGAACCAGGTGGAGACCTGTGTGAGGGTCATCTTGGTGATGATGGCCAGCATGATCTTCTCGCCCTTGGTGGGGTAGGGGTTCTTGCGGTGCTCGTTAAGCCAGGCCTTGAGCGTGGCCGTGGCATCCCGCGTGGCGTTCTTGCGGTACGCGGGGTCGTTGAGCTGGTACGGGTAGGCCGCGCTGCTGTACGGGTGGTAGCTGATGGCGCCAGTCATGCCGGTGGTGTGCGCGTCGTAGGGTGCGCCCTGGAACCAACAACAGCCTGTGAGTGGGGTGTGCGGACACTCTGCGGGCAACCAGCCGCAGGATGCCACCTTTCCAACCGCCCAACGGCTGCCGTTCCCCGCGAGTTTCTGGCTCTGGGGCTGCTTCTCTCGGCAAGAGTAGGAAGAACGCAGCGTGATTCGGGAATGGTTGGTCATCACAGAAAGTACCGCAATTTTATTCTCGAATTTTTGAACCATGCCACTTTCCTAAAATGACCCATCTTCCCTTAAGCGTTCCAGAGCCGCGCGTGGAGATGTACACAAACCCTCGCACGTGCGCGCACACAGGCCCACAGGTAGCTCCTTGATATCTAAATTTCTGCCGAGGCTTGGAGTGCCGCTGCCTCCCCCGACTCACTCTTCCCCGCCCTTATATGGTTAAAAAAGCACCCCAGAGCCCCCACTTCACTATTCACTGCTCTAAAGCTGGGCAAATCCAATTTGCAACTCAGAAGCCAGTCACCGTTTCAAATTCTTCACAGACGCCGTAATTAGCATTTTAATTCATCCTTTAACGTTTAAATTCGAGACAGTTGCAGCCTTCTCCAAGGCCCCAGCCTCTCGGTCGCTGCCCAGGAATTCCGCCCAGGACCGGCAGTGGCGACAACCTCGTAATGGCCTCAACAGCCCGCAACGTGCTTCGCCGCGGCCGGGCACCGGCCCAGCTCAGGAACCCAGGGGCTCGCGGGCTGCCCCCCGGTCGCCGGAGCTGTAGCTGCGCTTGGTGCACGGAGAACTCGGGCGGCCGGGACGCCGGCAGGGCGCATGCTCGATTTTTGAAAGCGTGGACTGCGGGACAGGTTAAGGCCGAAACCCCGGCGCCTCGGGCCGGACTCGCGAGCCGCAGCTGGAGGCTCGGCTCCCTGGCCCAACTCGGTGACCCCTGCCGCCCCGAGCCTCGCTAGTGAACCCTAACTGCCCGGCCGTCGGCCCAGAGGCCGCAGTGGCGCGGACCCTCGCGGTCCACACCAATGCGGGCGAGCACACGGCCCGCTCCCAACGCCTCCCCGGGCTGCGGTGCGCGAACCAGGGACAAACCGCGCCAGACCCCGGCCCCCAGCGGAGACGCACTTCCCAAGATCTCAGAGAAAATGAGCCGGCGAGCCGAAGGGACGAGCAACCGGGGCGCGGGTCCTGGCCCGGCGCGGGGACATCCCCGCCGGCCGCGCCCTCCACCACCAGGGGCCCGGTTCAGCCTGTGGGGCGGCAGACCGAGCGGGCGACTGCGAAGCCGCTGCCCGCTCCACATTCCCCGCGGCCTCCGCCCGCCGAACCCCGGCCCCGCTCCGCCCGCTCCCCGGGTCCGGGTCCGCACGCTCCGGAGTCCCCCTTCCCTCCCGCGCCCTGTTACCATGTAGGACGGGAAGCCCGCGGCGGCGGCGGCAGCGTCGGCCGAGTACTGCAAGGGGGTGCCGAAGCCGGTGGCCGCCTGCGCGGTGAAGGCCGCCGAGCCCGGGTAGGGGCTGAACGCGGAGCCCGAAGCCGAGCGCGCCAGCTCCTCGCTGCGCGGCGCTGCAAGAGCCGATGCGCCGTAGGCCGGGCAGGAGTAGAGCGCCAGCGAGCCGGGCGCCTGGTACAGGTAGCCCTGCGGGTAGGACATGGTGGGCGCGGGGCGCCGGGCCCGCGTCACGCCAAGCAGCGGGCAGGGCGCGCGGCGCCCTCCATCCACGCCCGGCTGGGGCGCGGCGCAGCGGCTTGCACCCGGACGGCGGGCCGAAGCAGGCCGGCCCGGGCACTAGCCTGGGCGGCCCGCGGGCCGGGGTGGCGGCGGGGCAGCAGCGGGGCGGCGGGGCAGCAGCGGGGCAGCGGCGGCGGCGGCGGCAGCGCGGAGCCGGTGGGCGCAGCCGCGCGCCAGGCCGGCGGTCGGGGTTTGGGGGAGTCTGGACTCGGGAGTGAGGAGTTGAGGAAGGAGCGCTCGAGTTTCCGAGGGACATTGGAACGCGGAGCTGTCCGTCACGCGCTCATCTGCATATTCGGGGGCCCGCCCCTCCCCTGCTCCGCCCGCTCCAGCCTTCGGGCCGCGGCCGGGGGAGGGGCAGAGAGCGGGGAGGGAGGCGGGGGAGGGCGGAGGAGACAGAGGCGGGCGGCGGGAGGGACCGGCAGGCTTTTGTGGCGCAGCCGCCTCTCTGGCAGCTCCGGCCCCAGCCCGCGGCTCGCGGCCGTGCAGCCCGGCCCGGCCGCTCTGCGTCCCCCGGCGCCCACCCCACCCACTCCCACGCCCTCGGAGCCACGTCCCTTACCCGTCTCCGGCCGGCTTCTACGGTCCCAGGCCACGGTCTCCGCCGCCTCCCGGCCCCCGCCCCTTCCAGCCACTACCCCGCCCCCCACCCCCTGTCGACCCTCTCGGACCAGACAGAGGCCGCCCGCGGTGGGGCCAGGCCGGGTCCACTTGGGGGATTCACTGCCTGCCCCTCTGTGCACCTGGAGGAGACCGGACCACTAAGTCCAGTCCGGAAGTCGTAGGGAAGTGAGGAGGTCAGGACGGTGGCGCCCGCGGCTTGGGTCCTCCTTGGGGCGGTGTGCGCGCGGCTTTCTCTTCCACCGTCCTGGACCTGCTCTGACTCCCGACCCGAGGCTCGCCGCGTGGCCTCGCGTCTGGTCGCCGGCCCCTCGCGGCTCGCTCCGCCCAGCATGGACCCGGATCCGGGGCGCCTCAGTGGCAATCTGCCAGGAGGGCCGTAAGGTGAGATTTCTGCCCCTAAATTCGCAGCGCAAACCCCGGGGCCCTGAACCTTACGACTTTCCACTGTTGGGAACGCCGCCAGGGCTTCGCCTAAGAAGACGCGGTCCCCTAAAGAATTTTATTTTATTTCGTTTTTCTAAGTTGACTCCTCTTTCTGGTTTGTGTTGTCAAAACACTGGGGGGATGATTGTTACTGGACAAACCGCCTCTGGCAAGACCTGAAGCTTCCCCGACACCTCGGGAACGGATAAGAGCTCAGGCTGGCGCCGCCAGTGGGCATCACAGGCAGCTTAGGTGTGGCGGGGGTTGGGGCGGGTGCCTAGTGGGGCTCAGAGGCCAGGCGGTTGGCGAGGGTCCCTAGGACCCCAGCTCCCTAGAGCCCGCTCCCCATCACGCCTCCCCACCCCTGTTCCACTCGGGGGTGGCCGCAGAGGGTGTCTGGCTGCCCAGTCCGAATGGTGACCTGTGGGGGGCGCTCAGGGGGATGTGAAAGTATCAGGTGTCTGCTGGCCCGTTGGGAGCACCCACTCAACAGGTGCCTCTACCCTCGGAAGGGATGGGTGCGGTGGAGGCGAGAGAGGGCCGTGGCCTGGGGCGGGCCTCAGCGAGGGCCTGCAGTCGACTCCTGCACCCCCGCTGGCCCCGCAACCTGCGGAGCGGCCTCTGTGGTCTCAGGACGCCGCGCTTGGTTCGGCCTCCCGGTGGTGCAGCTACAGCGGCGCCGGGGAAGCGGAGCTCGGGTTGCCAGCCTGGTCCCGGGCACAAGAGAAACATGGCATCAGGCTGTCTTTCCCCAGGTGCAAGGGAACCAGTTACAAATAGCAGTGCTGGACTTGAGGAGGGCTCCTCCTGAACTGGAAGGCAAGCAGGAGGACGCTCCCCCGGGGCTTGGTCCAGGCACGTTACCCTTCCAGTCAGGAGCTGCCGAGCCACTCGCCCCCTACCAGTTATCCGACCCACCCCTCCGTCCACACCGCTCCCCCTCCACTCTTCCTACAAACCACACCCGTCCTCCACGCCCCCTCTCCATGGCATCTCAACACACACACACCCACGACCACCGCTCCCCCACCCACAGACACCCCGCTTCACACAGGCCAGGGTTCCTACAACGACCCAGCAGGGGGTTTCAACCTTGCCGCGGTTCCACGTGGGACATCCTAATTCAGTTCAGGGCAGAGATTTTTAATTAATTACAATAGAGTTGAAAAACAGAAAGAGAAAAAGCAGCTGACTTGGGCAAGCCGGCGACAATCTGCGGCAGTTTTTGCGCTTCCTGGGAGGGAATTCCTCCAGGAAGAGAGGTAAATGAGAGTCCACATGCTGGATAGAAAACACGGACACTGACTGATCAGATGGCAGCCGTTTTGGTTCCCTTCCGATCAGATCAGTTTAAGTGAAAAAAATCGGGTGTAATTTTTATCACCAGGGAGGACAGGCCTGGAGTATTTCCATTTCTAAAGAGCGTTCCCGCTGTGGTTTCATTAGCATTTGGGGCTCATCTTCCCTCCCCTCCCTTGACCCCCCTGGGCCTGACCTCTGCCAGGGGCAGAAGAGAAAACAGCCAGTTATTACAAAAACATCCTCGGTTTGGAGCTGGACTGTCTGCTCTGGATACAGTCGATTCTGACATCAATTAAATATATAATCAGACACGTGCAGTGGCTGGGAGGGCATCCCCTCACACAGAGTGCATCTCCAGAAACGCAGCCTGCCCTTCCCTGATCCTTAGCTCAGTGCAGGGAGTTTGAAGATGGCCTCTTCCCGTCCATGTGTATTTCCCCCCCTGCAATTATACTCCTCCACTAAAATCTAAATTTTCCATACCGCTGCTGCCTGTTACTAATAAAAACCGTCTACCTTGCACTATTAAACAGTCGACTCTTACTACATGCCGTTTTTATTGGTAGTGACTGTAGCAAATTAAAATGCCTACGCAGAGACATTAAAAACTTACACTCGTCATTGTTATTGGAATATATAAACTCCATTTGGCTTTAAATCTCCCTGATTTTAAAGAAAAAAAAAATCTCTTTTCCTTTTCTTAAGTTAAAGTTGGCTTGGTCGTCCAAAAAAAAAAAAAAAAAAAATCAATCCCGAGAAAACCTGCTGCCAGTGTGGAGTCTTGGCGGGGCGGTCCCGGCGAGGCCGCCTGCGAGGGTGGCTGGCTCAGCCCGGACTGGGTCTCCTGGCCACGCGGGCCGCAAGGCCGCAGCTGCCAGAGAGGAGGGCCCGGGCTGTTTTGCTCAAGGGCAAGTGGGGTGCTCAGGCCTGTGGGGTCGCTGGGGAGGGTCTGGCACTTGGTTCCTGCAGCTTTTGAGAGGGAATGAGCAGGCACGCAGGGGAAACCGAGTAACTGCTTTGAAAACGCGACTTCTGGCCTCAGTGACCCAGGCCCTGGTAGTTTCAGGTTCCCGGCGGGTCCTGCCCCCTTCCCCAGGTGTGCTCTAGAGGGTGGGGAAAAGTTAACAGTGCTCTATTTTTCTTTCTTTTCCCTGCAGCAGCCAAAGAATTTAGAGCAAGTCCACGTGGACATGCAGGTCTCCGCGAGCGAGGATTTCCTGCGAGGCTGATCGCAAGGAAGTGCCGGCCCAGAGGCTCGGGCGCCGTGTCTCCCCGGGAACGCGGCCGGCTGAGAAGGCCGGGGCGCTCGCCAGGAGCGGGGACGTCCTCGGTGTCGCTCGGGGACGGAAGGAGGCGGCGCAGGCCCGGAGACCTGCGCGCGGGCGGCGAGAGGGCGCTGTGGCCCGTGCCTGCCGGCCGGAGTCCCACCAGCGGTGGGCGCGACCCACCTCCTCCCACGGCGGCTTAATTCGGGAAACTAGAAAAAAACACATCAAGGCATTTTAGTAAAACCTAAGCGGCTCCAGATCCTTTCTCGTGGTGGTTCCTTATGAGCTCTGGTGTTGGGGGAGGGGGGGGCGGGAAACAGTTACCATTCCGGGATGTGTCCAAGTTTTTTGGAAATTAACATTAAATAGACACATTTTATGTGGGTTTCCTTGAATGAAGTAACATTTGAAATACAAGTAGTTTCACTGTATCAAATCACATGGCTACCGTATTTACAGTCTCCGGCCCTCCCGCTCCAGGGCTCCCCGCGTGTTTGTGGAGAGACAGAGTGAGGCAGGTACAGGGGGCCGGGGACTCGAGAAGCTTGGCTAAGCATTTTTTATTTTCTTTGAAAACAAATACATTGTTTTAAATTGAATAAAATTTAAGTCAACATGGAACGCACATGTCCTTCAAACGTCGTTTACGGGTCTAGTACTCTGTGAATCGGTGGGACTGGATTTCACGCGCAACCGGCATTTCTAGGCTTTCAAAGATGCTTCTGACGCCTAAATGTTCTCCTGGAAGACACTCGCAGAGGAGCATCCGTGGTAGACTGAGGGGTCCCCGCAGCCCCAGTCCTGGCAGAATGTGCGAGGCCTCTCAAGGTTTTCAAATGGGCCCGCGAAGCCTCGGAGATCCCCGGTAGCCACGAGGGCCGCACTTCAGGGACTCCGGACGGAGGCCACTGAGGGCTGTGATGGCTGGGAGGGCCCCGCTCCGGGTGCTCCGAGCGCCTGAATACGGGACCCTACGCCAGCGTGCCCTTTTCTTTTTCTTTCTTTCCTTTTTTTCGTCCCTCCCTCCCTTCCTCCCTTCATCTCCTTCCTTCCTCTCTCCCTCTCTCCTTCCTTTCTTCCCTCCTTCCCTCCTTCCCTCCTTCCTTCCTTCCTTCCTTCCTCCCTCTTTCTTTTTCTCATTCTAGGACCTTATATTCGGCTAACCAGCTCTTGCTTACTTAACTGCCCTGTTTTTAGCTCCCGGTTTCTGCGAGCTCTCAGCACGGCTAACTCGTCCCTCCTGGCTTCCTTCAGTGCTCCGCAAAACTTGCCCTCCTCCCACAGACGCCCCGCCTCCGACGTGCTTCCTGAAGCTTCTCTCCCGCGCAGGGGTCCCGACTGTCCAGAATTCTCCAGCCTCTCGCCGACTCCGTCTCTATCCTCCTCTGCTTCTCTCTGTCCTCGCGCTGGCTTCGCCCTCTTCTCTCCTCCTCCTTCCCACCCGCCCCGCCCCCTCCCGCTCGTCCCTCTCCTCGCCTGGGTCTGCAGCCCCTCGTGGCCAGGCGTCCGCCGCGGCTCCAGGCCCAGGTCCCGCCACACTGGGCCGCTCGTGGGCTGCTCTCACCCAGCGATCCCTGGAAACAGCGCGTCCCGCCAGCTGCGGCTCCGGCCCGGGAGGGAGCGCGGCTCCGGGACCTGCAGCGCCTGGAGATCCAGGAAACCGCGTTCCTTGGCAATGGACGGTCCTGAGATCCTTGAAGGGATCGCAGTGGAAGGAGACCCGCTTCAGAATCAGCAACGATCTGGCCGCCTCAGTTCCTCAACAGGAGGCGGTTCGAAGCTGAAACGTTTGAAACTCCGCCGCCGTGTCACCTTTGCACACACAGGCCCAGGTCCGCAAGAAACGCAGGCACGCGCGCACTGGCGCTTGCCAGAGAGGTCGGCGCGTCTCACTGCAGCTGTTCTGGTCAAGCGGAGTTGTCAGGGTTTTGTTTTGTTTCTGTTTTGCCTTTTAAAATTGTTTTACAAGACAGTCTTCAGCAGGACGTAGCTCCCTCAACCCTCCGTCCCTCCAACGGCTTCTCCGTGGCTTTGCAATCTGCTTTTTAAACACCAGAGCGCACCTCGGTGCTAGCCTCGGCTGGGCGCGGGGTGTGCGGGCGCCCGGGAGGCTTCGGAGAGCGAGGGGTCCACTCCATCCCGGCGTGAGCAGATGGGACTCCTCGCTCGTAAGAAACCACTGGAAAAAAGGAAATAATTCCTCGAGTGTTTTACAATTATTTTAATCAAACAGGCGAAGCTCTAAAGAGCGCTTGTCTTAAGGCCATGTTGAATACCCTTTGCAAACTCTCAATTCGGCGTGTGCGCCCGAAACCATGAGTCCTAAGCAGGGGCTCGGCAGCACGCGGTCCGGCAGGCGCCGAGCTCCTCCTTCCCACCCTTTAGGGCAGCCTTCTGCACCCCTGGGCTACATAGGCGGGGGGGGGGGGGGGGGTTGGGGTTTGCTTTCTTTGCTTTTATTTTTATTTTTCTAAATATGGCTGGGGATGCAGAAATTTTAAAAATGAATACATTTGAGTGTGCTAAAAGTCAAAACTTCTCTTGGACAGAACAGAAACCGCTGACCCCAATGGCGGAGGAGATACTTGCTGCACATGTAAATAACTGAGCCTGCTCTACAGCGCCAGGAGGCATCCTGGCTGCCAGTGGGTGAAAACGAAGCACCCAGCGGAATAAAGGGGCAGGGAGGGGGGCAGCCCTCCGCGCAGAGGCAGAGGAGATGGCTGAGAATGCGCACGTTCACTGGTTGTCTATCTCTAGACAACAGGAGATGCCACTTCTCATCCATTGATGACACCAGGCAAGGCCTAGAATGTGCACAGTAGAACTCTCTCCCTGCCGTGCAGCTGGAATTTCTATAGAGAAATTCTCGAGATTTTGGCCACATCTCAAAGAGCACAGAGGTGCTGGGGAGGTGGGGACGAGGCCGCCCTGGAGCACTGTTCGCAGGAGTGCAAAACTGAAAAACCCCTCCATGGCCACCACTCCAGGCCTGGATAAAGAATTCGGGGCATATTTCAGGGAACAGAATGTCCCTCAGGGCGAAAGGGGATGAAGTCGTTCTGCTTGTATCAACTTGAGTGCCTCCTGAAAGTGCAGCCGTGGGGGCGGGGATGCAAAAGGCTGATGCTTACAATGGAATTTAGAAACAAACCAATATTTTGTGGTGTCCACAGGCGCGAGGGTGGGGGAGCTGCAGCGTCGCCACGGCACAAAAGTATCCCGCGTCTCCGGCCTCTTTAAAGAAGGAGAGTGGGCATGGGAGGAGGACTCAGGCTCTGTTAGTCATGTTTTATTTCTGAAAAATAGATCTGAATGAACCGTAGCAAATTGTTAACAACTCTTAACTTGGAATACTGATTACACGGGATTATATGACTCTACGTTTTCATCATGTGAAATATTTTATGCTTTGACCATTAAAATTAAAGCTTTTTATAAAAGTGTCATATCCACTGAAGTATAATGTGCTAATTTGGGATTGATTCATTTAAATAAAACAACTTCCTTCAAATATTTTATTTTTAATGTCTGTTTTCCCCTCTCAATTCCTCCACCTTTTTAAAAAGCCCAAACATGTTTTAGAATTGCTAGTTAACCTTAAAGGTTAACCTTAACTTGCATGCATGTCTGTGTGCCCCTGTCCTGAGCATCCTGCAGAGGCTGTCCCAGCCCTGGGCCTCCCTCCACTTCCTCTCTAAGTCCAGGGTCTGGCTCCCACTTTGTTTATGGTGGTGGTGGTGGGGAGGGGTGCTTTCTGGAACAAAGGACAAGGCCAGGTGTGCTGGGCACAGTGTGGCTGGGTGCCGTCACCAGCTCGCGTCTATGAGGAAAGATGTGCTTCTACATGTCATTTGACGTTTCCTCTCATTCCAGAGTGTCTGTGGCATAAAGAATATCGCCTGGAAAGGAGAAGCGAAGTAGGAGGCAGAGGGGAAGCCTGGCCTTTGGGTCTCGGCTGACCCTGGGTTCCTGGCAGGCCCTTTCGCCTTCCACATCTTCTCTTACTCTCAGGGTAGAACACAGGGCCTTCTGCTCTTTCAGAAACAATCAGTTCTGCTTAGTTCTCTTTACTGTGGCCGGAGAAGCTGGATCTTTGTGAATACAAATCTCCTGAGGGCCCCAGCAGAGTTGGAGGCCGTAGGGGCTGGCCTTGGTCAGCAGTTAGACGGTGATGTGTTTGGATGTGTGTTCCCTCCAAACCTCATACTGAAATGTGATCTCCAGTGTTAGAGGTGGGCCTCGTGGGAGGGATCGAGGTCCTGGATGCAAAGCCCTCAGGAACTGTTTGTCCCGCTGGGCACAGTAATGAGTGGTGATGAGCTCACAGGAGAGCTGGTTAAGGGACCTGGGACTCCCGCTTCTCTTTCTTGTTCCCACTCTCACCCTGTGACATGGACGATCCACCATTGCCTTCTGCTGTGATTGGAAACTTCCAGAGGCCTCACCAGAAGCAGATGCTGGCACCACATTTCCTGTACAGCCTGAAAACCATGAGCCAAAATAAACGTCTTTTCTCTGTAAATTACCCAGTCTCAGGTAGTTCTTTATAACAATGCAAATGGACTGAGACACAAGGTCTGTATATTTTATTGTATTCCTCACTGTGCTCAGAACTGCACAGGGAGGAGGGTGCTGTTTTCTGGGAACCAACACAAGTCCAGCCCTCCCTTTGCTGACATGGCTGACCACCCTGTGGGGCTGACCACCCTGTGGGGTCGCTTCAGCCTGTGGTCTCCGCGGCTGGTCAGCAGGCAGAAGGTGACGAGTTTAGACCCCTTGGCTTTCTGCCTGCAGCCAGTTTTTCTGCCAGGCTGGAACTCTCCAGGTGGCTTCCTCCTGTAAGTTTCACATTTATTTCTCCCCTTAGGGGTCAGCACAGGCCCAGGACGCTCCCAAGGCTCTGTGCCTGCGGGTACCAGAGCTACAGGTTCCCATTGGGATGGTTCTCCAACCTCAGAACAACCCCTGACTCCACTCCTGGCATGCTGGGGGCAGTAGACATTGATTAAATGAATGTATACGAGAAAGAATGAATGACTCACTCTTGGTTATTCATCTTCTAAAAGACATGGTGGGGTGAAGGAGAGAAGCAAGAATCACTGGAACACGTGCTCACAGGTCCCTGCCCCACCAAGAGCCATCTCCAGACCTGACCTGGTGGGCCACCTGGGCTCTACCCAAGTCATCTAATGGTGCTCTTCAGCAGCACAGGCTCCCAAGGATAAAGCAAGAGCAGTTTTGGAGGTTAAATTT